GACCCAAAACCGTCCATAATTGTTTCAAGGTCTTCTAGAGTCCCATCCTGACGGTGAAGATGGGTGAATTTGATATCGTTCGATAGATCTCTTCGAGTTCTATCTGGCACACCTGCTCTCTCACCTGGCCTAACTTTCAAAATGAATATTTGCTCTTGATAGGGACCCAAAACCGTCCATAATCGTTTCAAGCTCTTCTGGAGCCCCACCCTGACGGTGAACCTGCATGAATTTAGTATCATTCGGTAGATCTTGTCGATTTGTGTCTGGCACAAGTGTTCTCTCAAGTGGCACAAGTCTTGAAACGAATATTAGGTCAAAATGCTGATATTTTACACTAAAATCAGTGTTTTAAAAGGTGCATTTTGAATTTTGCAGCCGTTCTTGACGATGGAAGTTCATTGAAAGCGAAGCATTCCACAGCATATTCGATGCTCTATCTGGCACAATAACGATCTTTTTTGGCACAACTATCCTCGCGAATGTTTCCCCAAAAAACTCGAATCTGCTGCTAACTTTACTTGCGTATGGAAAAAAGAGATAAGTTGATATTTTTATTGATCAATATAGTATTTGAATCTACAAATTAGAACTGAGTCAAAGTAAATTTCTTTACCAATCTTAAAATGACAAATGATCGAATCCTATTTATATGATACTCAAATTAGAACTTCCGTTGCATAGAAAACCATGTGAAAAAATCAAGAAGAGCATATAAAGACAGTATATCACAGATCTAGATCATCCTCAGCTATGATCACGATTCTACGGATAGAATATATATGCCATTCTTCAAATCAAAACTCAAATATTATCTACTCATTTGATAGTTTACCGTCATCCTTCTATATGACTCTAACTCATAACTCATTTCTCTACCTTGTGCCACTTATCATGAGCAGAATAAAGTAGCTGGAGAGAAAAAAAACACAAATTCAGAAATGGCATTATTAGGAATCATAGAAGTTTTCTGCTCTAGATTATGATAAATTCAACACTTTATTTATTCGTTGTTCAGTGCTAATACTTAAAAAAAAAAATTATTTGACTAAATTCAACGTCGAGCAGTCATGTTGTTTTTCCAATACGTTGCCCTTTTACGCATATACTGAACGAAAAAAGAATAGAAAGAATATACAGTCGTCCGCCATGAAAGACGTACTGATCGATCATTACATTACATCTGTCAATCTATCTATATATATATATATGTATTAAATGCCTTTCTAAATTATTTTTTCTTTCACATTCTTAATCGTTCTACTTGTCTACCATCATTCACATGTGTCAAAAAGTTCCCACAGCATCAAATTCATCTGTAAGTAATCTACTTTTCTCTGCAGTTCAAAGTTAGATCAATACAAAAAGGTAGAATACAATCAAACTATATTTTATTTACTTCGCTTTAATTTTTCCTTGTCTTAGAGTTCAGTCTTTTGTTCATAAGACAGAAATTAGAGTAGAGTAGTTATTGACTTTTTCACCGCTTAATATCGCTCAGCTAATGACCTGAGTTATTTATCTCGTTGACTCTAATACATAAGAATCTCATACTTTTATTACTCCGAACAGTACCATGTTGTGTCTAATTTATAGTATTAGTTGTGCTTCAATTTTGTCCGATGGTTTTTATCGATGTCGCGGTTAGCAATTTACAGAGAAAATTACAGTAACATATATTACAAATGGTAGCAAACGGAAGGTATGTTGTAAGAGAACATATAATAGCATTTGTCTTTGAATACAGAAGAATTTTGCTTTAAATTTATCGTTACTAGGGATCATGTATTGTAACAGATGAACGTATAATATTGGATTAGTATCGTAAAGTACTTTTCTTTTGTTTTTTTTAGACAAGCGATGAAAGTGACACTGGCTTACTGAAAACAAGAGATGCTAAATCACGTCAAACAACAGATAGTGAACCATATCATACAAGAAATAATGAACAACGTCATACAAGAAATAGTGAACCACATTCAACAAATCATGAACCACGGCATACAACAAATAATGAACCACATCATTCAAGAAATCATGAACCACGGTATACGACAAATAATGTACCACATCATTCAACAAATCATACACCACGTTATACACTAAATAATGAACCACATCATTCAGCAAATCATGAACCACGGTATACGAGAAATAATGAACCACATCATTCAACAAATCATACACCACGTTATACAATAAATAATGAACCACATCATTCAACAAATCATACACCACGTCATACAAGAAATAGTGAACCACATCATTCAACAAATCATGAACCACGTCATACAGCGAATAATGAACCATGGCAATATCATCATTATTTCGTGAATGATGGTCAGTAAAATATCATTTTTTATATCAATTAAGTTGTGCTTTTAGGTCGTTCAAATGTAACAATGCCTATAGGCTTATTTTTAATTACATTATTGGCAACATTTATATTAGGTTATTGTATCGGTAAGGTCGCTTAAATATTAGCATTTATTTTGAACATATCGCACTGCAATACCCATTGCTTTTTCATTTTAGGCATATCATCTATAGGTATTTTATTATTTGGAATTTTTCTTCACCGGTTTACCTAAATATTCTTAACATTTTCTTCAACTTGTCAATTTCTTCCTTTGTTTTCTCCATATATATGGTATTAATAAAATGACTTTCTAAATTTTCTATGCTGATTATTGTAACTGATTTACCCAGAAAGTAAAAATTGTATCAGAACTACCATATTTATTATATTTTTGGATACAATAACTTATTTAACTTCATTTTTTTGGTTGAATGTATGTCCTTATTATTTTCTGTTGTCTATGTGCATTTTTATATGTGGGTGGACGTGGGTGCGGGTGTGGGTGTGAGTGGGGTGGGGTTGGGTGGAGTGTGGATGTAGGTATCGGTGTGGGTGTGGATATAGGTGTGGGTGTGGGGTGTGGGTGAGGGTGTAGGTATGGAGTGTGCGTGTGCGTGTGCGCATGCATGTCCTCAAGAAAGTACTCACAAAAGCCCACCCACACCCACACCACGCCCACACCCACACCCACACCCACGCCCACACCCACACCCACACCCACACTCACACCCACACCCACACCCACACCCACACCCACAGCCACAGCCACAGCCACAGCCACACCCTCACCCACACCCACACCCACACCCACACCCACACCCACACCCACACCCACACCCACACCCACACCCACACCCACACCCACGCCCACACTCACACCCACACCCACGCCCACACTCACACCCACACCCACACTCACACCCACACCCACACCCACACCCACAC